CCCCAAAACCCCAAAACCCCAAAACCCCATAGGATTATTTCAAAATTGTATGGTATAAATTAATTAATATGCTCACTAAATACCTGGGAGCCAAAATAGGAAGCCTCTCTAGAGTGGCACAGCCCTCAAAAGTTCCTTTGAGGCTATATCAGCCCTTACAGTCTATTCAAATCAGACAAATGTCTCATTATGTGTCTTTAAAGGATGAAAAATTCACTATAGCATTAATCGGAAGACCGAATGTAGGAAAAAGCACTCTTTTCAATACCTTGATGGGCCAGGATGAAGCTCTTGTAGATAGGATGCCTGGCCTCACAAGAGATAGAAGGGAAGGAGTATCTGAACTCTTTCCTCTACCAGTTAGGATAGTCGATACAGCTGGATTTGAGGATATTGAAAACTTAGATGAACCTGAAGCCCGGTCTATCAACGGAAAGATGATGGAAGACATGATCGTTCAAACGAGAAATGCTTTAATTTACTCAGACCTCGCTATTTTCATTGTTGATGCCAGAGAAGGAATTCAGCACCATGATATTGCACTTCATAAATGGATAATGGAGAGAAAATTCTTAGAGGAAAAGCGTAATCAGTACGAAATTGAAACACAAAAACCTCTGAATCCTGAAATAATCTATGAAAAACCCTTGAAGGACTATACTAGCAAAAAGGAGTACAAATAAAGAGCTTGAACTATATGAGCTGCAAAAAAGTGAACAACAAATGAAAAGAAAAGAGGTGATCTTCAGATCTCAGTTTCGAAACCCTCTTGAAGAGGCTGATCCAGAGGGAATCAAAATTCCCAAAATTATCTACGTTGCAAATAAAGCAGAGGATGAGAACGAGGGAGATATCAACTCAGAAATCTGGCAACTTGACCAAGATGACATCCTATTCGTATCTGCCATGCATGGGGATGGGATGCAAGATCTCTTTGGGAAGATCATCAGCAACATCCCTGAAGAGAAGCATGAGGAGTACGAACGCCGAAGGGCTCTCAGAATTCAACGTTACAATGAATACAAAGAAATGATGATGCAAGAACTTGAGCAACTCAGGATGATCAACATGCATGAAACTGAAAGCCTTGACGTGGACTTCAACCCTAAAGAATTAGCAAATGAATTTGACTTCCTCAATCCAGATCCAGAATATAATAGTGATTTTGACTCTGATAATGAGGTGAATCCTTTAGATACCCTAACACAAGTAGGGAAGCCTACCTCCATTAGAGGAATTTCTACTGAAAATATGATGAAGAAGAAACCCATCCAACTCTCAGTGATTGGAAGGCCCAATGTGGGTAAAAGTACTATAGTAAATGGCTTACTTAGGGAAGATAGAGTCATAGCCAACGATCTCCCAGGAACTACTAGAGATGCTATCTCCATCCAATGGGTTCACATGGGTAGAAGAGTCAACCTAGTAGATACAGCAGGAGTTGACATCAAAGCGAGAAACAAGAATAGGATCGAGCATTTAATTAATGAAAATATGGAGAAAGTCCTGAAATACTCCCATATAGCTATTGTCCTAATCGATGCAATGGAAGCATTCACAATTCAAGATCTGATGATCATGGACAAAGTCATCTCTGAAGGTCGAGGACTTGTCGTAGCTGCCAATAAATGGGATCTTGTAGCTGATAAATACAAAAGGAAAGCTGTCCAGTGGATGAATAAGCAGCTTGAGAAGAAATTCAGACAAGCCAAAGGAATCCCTCTCACTTTTGTCTCTGCTAAGACTGGCATTAGGGTAGACAAAGTCATGGACGAGGTCTTGAGAGTCTATGAAAAATGGAACACAAGAATTTCTACATCCTTACTAAACAATTGGCTTACTGCTCTCAAAAGAGTGCATAAGATGCCTGGTGAGGATGGAAGATTCTTGAATATAAGATATATAATGCAGATCAAATCAAGGCCTCCAACATTCTTCATTTTCGTAAATGACACCAGACTCGTGTTCGAAGTTTACAAAAGGTTCCTAAGGAACACTCTTATTAAAGAATTTGGGTTTGAAGGGGTACCAGTAAGACTCCTATTCAGAGATAATAGATACATGTACCAAAATAGGAACCCTCTTGATATACCTCACAGCCAGAGAACAATCATGAAGCGGATTGAACTAAATAGAAGTAAGACCTTATTCTCATTATCTAGGACAACAGATGAACAGTGTTACTTTCAGAAGAAGATTGGCAGGGAACCAGTTCCTATACTACAAGAAAGGAGTCTTTGGCAAGAGCAGAAAGAGGGTGTAAATTTCTACTTAGGGCTATCAAATTTGCAAAATTCAATAATGCTGCATTCTACAGGGGTTTTGGGGTTTTGGGGTTTTGGGGTTTTGGGG